CTTCAAATATAACATCCTTGATGATTATTATTTTCTTGTTGACTGAATCAAAGAGTCTATATGCCTTGGATTCATCACTGACTCCAAACAGAACACGGTCTGCTCTTGTCATCAAGCTTAACCCACTATTGATCTGGCATGTGGACATGAGCAAGATAGTTGAATATGTAAAAATAATCAACAAATGGTTTTATTCCACTCCATGCTTCCTCTGGGGTTTTATTTTTGACAGCTGATGTAGAGCTTCTATTCAAAATGTATGCACACCATTTTGTTGCTTCTGGCCGAAAGATTTTTGGAACTTGTCTTCTAATCAGCATAGAGCGAACCATATTCATGATGGTTCTATTCTTTCTCTCAGCGACTCCATTCTGCTTTGGAGTATAGGAAGCAGTCAATTTCTTCTTATTCCTTGATTTCTGCAAAAATCTTCAAATTCTTTTGAAGAAAAATATCCTCCTCTATCTGTTCTTAAATAAATAATACTTTCTCAAACTTCTTTTTCAACTAATGCCTTAAAGCTTTTGAACAAAGAAAATGTTTCAGACTTCTCACTTAAGAAATATATCCAAGTTTTTCTTGATAGATCATCAATAAAACTTAGAAAATATTTCTTATTGTTGCTTGATGTTGGTTTGATTGGCCCGCATAAATCTGCATGAACTAGCTGCAGTTTTTTGGATGCTCTCCATATGTCTTTCTTGGACATAATGTTCCTATGTTGTTTTCCTGCCTGACATCGTGTGTAAACATATTGAGGGGCTATAATTGCTTATCTGGTGTGTGGACATGAGTTAGACAACTAGCCGAATACGCGAAAATAATCAATAGATGGTTTTATTCCACTCCATGCTTGCTCTGGGGCCTTATCTTGGATAATTGATGTAGAGCTTATATTCAAAATGTGTACACACCATTTTGTTGCTTTTGGCCAAAAGATTTTTGGAACCTGTCTTCCAATTAGTATAGAGCGAACCATATTCATGATGGTTCTATTCTTTCTCTTAACGACTCTGTTCTGCTGTGGAGTATAGGCATCAATCAATTGCCTTCTTATTCCTTGATTTTTGTAGAAATATTCAAATTCTTTTGAAGAAAATTCTCTTCCTCTATCTGTTCTAAAATTGATAATACTTTCTCCCACTTCCTTTTCAATTAATGCCTTAAAGCTTTTGAACAAAGAAAATGTTTTAGACTTCTCACTTAAGAAATATATCCAAGTTTTTCTTGATAGATCATCAATAAAACTTAAAAAATATTTTTTATTACTGCTTGATGTTGGTTTGATTGGCCCGCATAAATCTACATGAACTAGCTGCAGTTTTTTGGATGCTCTCCATACACCTTTCTTGGACATAGTGTTCCTGTGTTGTTTTCCTGCCAGACATTATGTGCAAAAATTTTGACAGGATGTAATCCGAGGCAAACTTGTCACCATTTATTTACAGGTAAGGGTGTTTAAGCCATCATAGCTTAGGTGTCTGAGCATGTTGTGCCAGAGTTGAGAGTTGTTTTTTGCATTCATCTGGAGACATGTTTCTATTCCCATGGTTGTTGATCGCACAAACATCCTGCTAGCATTCACTTGAACTTCACATATTACTCCTTTCTCAGGGTGCGCAATAGTACAAGTATTGTTCTGAATTTTAATACTCAGCCTTTTTTCCTGCAACTGTCATATACTCAATAGGTTATTTTTCAGTTCAGGAACATAGTACACATGTGTGACAATATGCATCATTCCATTCACTTTCATCCGAATACTTCCTTTTCCTATTACAGCTATATGAGTATCATTTTCCAGCTTTACTTTATCTCTAAAATTCTTATCTAATTATGAAAACCACCCCTTATTGCCACTCATGTGGTTGCTGCATCCTGAGTCTAAGAACCACACATTCTTCTTTCCTTCTTTGCTTTCTGCAAGAGTCATTAGTAAAATCTCTTCCTCTTGTTCTTCCTCCATTTCGCATAATTGACTTTCTTCTCCCACATAGGACATTCATATTGAAAATATCCAAGTTTATGGCATTTGAAACATTCAACTTCATTCTTGTTAAATGTTTGTCTTCCCCTTCCTCTACCTCGGATGGCTCATCTTCCTCTTCCTCTTCCATTTTTTTCATCAAACACAGTTTGCATAACCTGTTCTTCTTCCACTGAGTATGTCATTCTCTGCTCATTACTACATAGTCGAATTTTGTTGTCATAGACCGCAAAATTTTAGTGGTTATGACACTTTCTTGCATATTCTCTCTTATTACTTTCATACTTTTGGTTATCTTTAAAGTGCGCCCAAGTAAGAATTTACCGTTTCGTCTTCCTTCATTTGCAATGTCTCGAATTCCTTGTGTAGAGCTTGTAATTGTGCATGTTTCACCCTTGTGGACCCTTGAAATTTCTGTTTCATGGAATCCTATATATTTTTGAACGTTTCATCATTTAGGATGGTATCCAAAATTTCTCTATCAATTGCTTGATAGAGATAATTTTTTACCTTCAAATCTTTGAGTTGTTGTTCTTTTAGTCGTTTGAGTTCTGTTTCTGATGCTCTTGCCTTGTCTGGGACATTATCAGTACTGTGTGCCACCAAATTCTAATACTTCTTAGAACGCAAGAAATTCTCCATTAATTTTGCCCAATGGTCATAGTGACCATCAAACTTTGGAATGACAGGTTGAATGTATTTCCTTGGTTCAGCCATTTCAGATAATGCTCTAAAGAATACCTAAAGCTCATACTGTATCACTCTTCTCAAACCCAATTCAAAAAGTAGAACTCTTTAGGGTTTCTCTCTTACTCTCATGATAGCTTTTTTGGGTTAGGCCCCTGTGAAAGAGCTCTGATACCAAATTGTGAACAAAATAGATAAAAATACTTTTTATAATCTTCAATCTTTTGTTATTCATTTCAAAAGATTATATTATTAAATAGTTTTGCAAAAGAAAGAAAATTGCTCTCCCACTTACTGTAACTCATGGGCTGTTTTTCTAACAAAACGGGTAACTAATATTTAGCTTCTTTAATCCTTAAAGAATCGGTTAGCATAAGACGTTTAATTTTTTATATTTTTTAAACACAATATTAAATAAATCAGAAACATAAATATACAAATAAAAATAAAACATAAATACACTGAAACTTACTAGGCATGAACCTCTCCTCCTCCATTGACCACTTTCTGTTTGAAGTTCATTTGTTACTTGAATAAAATACTATAGATGAAAAATAAAATAAAATAAAAGGATGAGATTGATAATAAAAACAGTAGTTGTTAAGTACTATCGATGGAAATAAATACAAGATTCTATAATTGATCCTTTTATTAAAGTTTTACCTTTCCTCATAATTGAATATAATAAGCTTTTTTACTATTATGGATAAAAAAAATTTCAATTTTATCGAAGGGGTCAAAAATTTTAAATTTTCCAAAATGAGTAAAAATTGTGCCAACTGAGATAATTTTGAGAATGAAATCGTGTTTGAATGCACACTTTTAATTGAAATTGTGCTTCCTAAGCATGATTTTGATTTTTTTTTAAAATAATTTCCCTAATCATGTTTCTGGAAAATTTCATCAGGGTGAAAGTTCAAACATGAGACAGGAGAGATCAAAAGAAATGTTACTGAGTATTAGATGAGAACTAACAACAATGTGAACTCATCACCACCATCATTTCATCTAGTGCAACAACAACATTAGTTCCCACGTGATGACCATACTAATCCAAACAGTGTGGTAACAACTATGCCCCCACCTATTACGCGAGCTAACATAATCATTAATATTAATGAAAGAAGAGATTATCATGCCCTGGTACCAATCGAAACGAGTTTGCACTTCAATGAAGACTCAACACATTCTCCTCTTCAACCCTCAACTTCTATCTTTTCACAATTGGTCATTCATGTCAAATCCTACCTCTAGTATTAACATCATATTGTGAGACCGTATATATTTTAAAATTGAGAAACTTGTGCTAGATAACACGAGTTTAATATAAATATCATTATACTGAATTTGTGCTTCCAAGCACATTTAAAAAAAAAAACAATAACATTGAAATCGTACTATAAATACGATTTCAGTCAAAAATGTATTTCCAAACACATCTCATCGTCACTAAATTATTTCACCTAACACTACTTAACTCATTTTAAAAAAATTTAGAATTTTCAAATTGAAAATTTTTTTGACCCAAAATGGTGAAAAAGCCAAATATAATACAAATTCAAAGTTAGATACGTCACCGCATAGGAAGAGGCCTACACCTGTTCAAAATATCAGCGCATAAGTGGAGTCCTATGAGATAAATTAGCATGAGATTAGTAACCAGTTTTTATTATATCAACTCAAAATCAGTGTTAATTGATCCTTATACAATCTATAGTCCCTAACTTAAAAATGTTAGGGAATTAAACATTCTTCAAACGTTATTGATGCCATTAGTAAAACAGGAAATAGATTCAAAACAACTTTTGTTACCACATCCTTTTTTTATCCATTTCACGTAGAATACATGCTTAGTATGCATTACCAGCGGTCAATTTGACGGTCAGAATAAACAGCAAGAAATACTGTGATTTCTATTACGTTTTTTAGCCGCCACAAATTTCTTAGATGGTTTTCATATTTTTTTACTTTTAGCTATTTAACCTCACTGTTGTTGATCTAAATTATTTATTTTTATAATCATTGTTTTTTTACTCTGTCATATGTACAAAAATTTCAAAGCCCTTAAGAAACATCTCTCTCGGTATCCTATTATTTTTTTTAATTGCCTCTCTTAACAAATTACAAACCCTCGATCTATCTTATTTTTCTTTCTCATTTCTTCTTTTATCTATGAGAGCTCTTTCTCTATAAGAGGAGCAACACAGGATGGATTGAATGATTGGGGGTGTGACTTTCTTTTCAGAAACAACAACTTGAATTCAAAATAACACCATTTATCATGACTGATTACATGTACACAAATTAAATTGCGTGCGTGCATGCATCAACAAGCCCGTGCTGTATTCACCAAGGCAAGCAAATCCTCATCTGCTTCGAACTCTGTCATGTCCTCCACCTTCAAGCTAACATAGCCTCTATGCCTCTGCCATTCTTTGTGTCTATAAACACAACCAGATTTTTAAAAGTTAAAGCAGGTGAACCTACCCACGTTGGTTTTCCCCATCCAAAATCAGCGTCGTACAAAGGAAACCTACACAAACTAGTGATATTAAACGAGACTAGTTCCCCCTTCTCAAGCACTCTATATGAAATATCCTTGAGGAAATTAAAATGCTCATTTCCATCTTGGAGTTTTCTCACATAATCTATGTCAATCTTCTTTATCTGATCCCTTATCTGTTTCACTAGATCAAGATCATGACACTCCTGTCCTGTGTTCAACGATGGAGTTGTCATAGTGATGCGGTAGTAATTGCCAAAGGAGTCTGGAGGCAGTGGTGGTTCCATCTTTGGACGCAGGTTCACTGCGTGAATCAGAGCATATGTTCTCTGTGACCAGATTGATTTCTAGTCACAGCCACATAACGAGTCCAAATGAAAGCAGATAAGGCCTCCACTCGAGTAAGACGTTTCTGATCATTTGCAAAGCTTGGGGTAGCAGCTGCTGCGTATCTTGCTCTAAGATTTTCAACAACAGAACCGTCAAACACGAACATCTTGCAGATGATGTTCTCCTTCATAACGACGCCACTTCGAGGATCAAACCCAGATATATTTTTCGGTGGGAAGAGCTTAGCTGAAATAAACTGTGGATTTGGCAACTCACTTTGCTCCCTAGCAATGGCAGCCCAACAATTGAGGAACGTGAAAAATGACATACCGTCTGCAATCTGGTGAGAAAGGCAAGCTCCGATTGCGATTCCACCGCAATCAAAAACATTAAGTTGAACACCAAATGTGATGTTGGTGATGTCATATAGTAGAAATGGAACCAAATGGTTGAGTTCACCCGGAACTGGTTTATGAATAACGTCGACAACTTTGCACTTCACTCTTGCTTCTAAATAGGGAACACCCTCGTCGTTACAGTCGACGAAAGTACTGTTGCCATTGACTCGCCCGGCAAGCGGGTAGAAATGGGTTAAAACATCAGACAAAGATTTCTTCAGCTTTTGGGAAATGGTGGTTGTGTTGAATTGAGTGGTACCGTGGCAAGAGTAAAAGAGAACTATAGGGTTTGGGTTATAGACCATGGGAGAAACTTGATCGAGAAAAGAGATTTGGTAATGACGAAGATGGGTCTGGGTTGGAGAAGAGGGTTTGATGATTTCTTTGCAGATTATCTCCACTTCTAACTTCATTCTTTTCTTGCAATGGTTGAACCAGTTGCTGCAATGCCTGCAAGTCATTTGTGTTGATCGAGTTCTCTCGGTGCTAGCGGCGGGTGACCACAAATTCAGAAACTCTCTGGGATTTTCCATGCATTAATTGTTTCTTGCACGCTTTACAGTATCAATATTCAACAAAGTATTTGCATTATTGTTGAGTACTACATTAAACTTGACTATCTAAATTTCTTCCACCAAACTAATTGAAGAGAGGCCTATCACCTTCAAAAAGTGGTTCATATTTAAGTATTGTTAGATATAATGAGAGATGTTAATGATTTATTTATGTTATAATACTATTAGTATCAGTTTATTCAATAAAATCTATATAATTTATGTTTATATCTGATTTTAACGAATTATTTTATAATTTTTTGACGATTATTATATTACTCTCCTATTATTAAAATATATATAATTTAATCTTGAGACTTATAAAAACTCACGTTTTTTTTATTGAAAATTAAATAGAAACCACACAAAAGAGGAAAAAGAGCAGCGAACTAAGTATTTAATAGATTTTAATTAATATATTGTAATATTTTTCAATATAGTATAGTAAATTTGAATGTATAATATATATATATATATATATATATATATATATATATATATATATATGTGTGTGTGTGTGTGTGTGTCTTTCTATTTAGATTAAAGTCAACCAGCAATCGACACACATCAAATTATTTGAAAATGTTTAATCAACTAAACCCTAAAGGATTTAGGATAATCCGAAGAAAGAAATGAAAATACATTATTTTATACCTACACAACACAAAAAAACATTTTTTTTTGACAATTTTTGTCATTTAGTAGTCTTATAAATGGTTGCCAATGTCTTTTACCAACAATTATACTTTGATAACATTTATATTGAACAAATAATAAAAATGAAGTTAAGAGTGCATGGCTCTTCCAATTGCATTCTACTGCTTTATCTTTGTGAATATCAAGAAGAAAAGCAGCAAATGTGAAGAAAGGGGTAAACTGGGAATTTCAGAAGACTAAAAATGTTAGGGTGTTGAAAAGCAAGAATGGGATGTGAATAATATGTCGGTCGTTGTCAACGGTATGAAGGTGGAAACGGGAATATACCTACCTATTCATACATGTGTACAAAATTATCAAAATCGAACGAGTTTCAAATTCAACTTTCTATTTCTTCTAATACTCCAAGTATGCGTCAATAATCTGAATTTTGATTTCGCTGAGAAGATCTGGTAGAAAGAAAAAGGCAAGATCCAACATCTCGAACACGCCTCTATTTCAAAAAAAAAAAAAAATGGTACGAATGAAATGTCTTGATTTATCATTTTATTTTATCTCGTTTTCGATTTGGTATATATTGATTGCAACCTTATTACCTGCATATCTAATCTGTGTATATTGATTACAACTGTATTATCTGTATACTTTCTCGTTCTCTGTATTCATTTTGTTTGCTTTTGTTTTCCATTTGATTATTAAACAATGTCTAGTTATTTCTAAATATCTGCACTAAATTTTAATCATTTTGACATTATAGACGGGGGCTGAAGGCCCAACCTACACAGTAGATGATGCTCTAGTGGCTTTGGGTTTTGGAAATTTCCAAATTCTCGTGCTTGTTTATGCTGGTGTAGGTTGGGTTTCAGAAGCAATGGAAATGATGCTACTCTCTTTTGTAGGCCCTGCAGTTCAAGCTGCATGGAGTCTTTCCCCTCGTGAAGAGAGTTTGATAACCAGTGTGGTTTTTGCTGGCATGCTAATCGGGGCATACTCATGGGGCATTGTTTCAGATATACATGGAAGGAGGCAGGTTTCTCTTCACTAGTTCATTATCTTTTACATTGTCAGTTTCTCTGGCACATTTGAAGTATTTCATTTTATTGAGGCGAAGAGCGGTCTGCTTATCAAATCTAGGATTATTCATGCCTCGATTAAAATCTTCCAATGGTTTTTTTATATATAATTTTCTTTTCTTAGCATTATATTAAGTTATTTTGTGCCTCCTATTATGTAACAAATAAAATCTCTGTTTCAATTTTAAGTGCTTCGGTTTCAAGTGTACTTAGCATTGTTGGTTCATTTAATATTATCTTATTCTTTGGCTTACTTTAAAAACTCAGGAAAGGATTCCTTATCACAGCGACAGTTACAGCCATAGCTGGTTTTCTTAGTGCATTTGCTCCTAACTATATATTATTAATTGCCCTTCGTTCTCTAGTCGGTGTTGGTTTGGGTGGTGGCCCTGTATTGTCATCTTGGTTTCTAGAGTTTGTTCCTGCTCCCAACCGAGGTACCTGGATGGTTGCCTTTTCAGCATTTTGGACTCTTGGTACAATTTTTGAGGCCTCACTTGCATGGGTAAATTTTGTTCATTTCCTTGTAAATTTTCGTTAATTTCAATTACAGTTTACAAACATGCTCTTGAAAATTTGAATTCTTAATATTTAAATCAGCCTCTTCCCTCTTTCTTTCCAAGCTATCCAGTTAACCATGAATTTAGATCATCTATTTCACCCTCAGAATGGTCCTTGGGTTTATATATGTGTGTCTTATTCTTTTAATTGATATTAAATGATTCACATCTCGGACATTTTGCTATTACTTCTTTATTAGCTGTGCCAGCTCCAAAAGCTCCAATATGTTTTGAATCTGTTTTTTTAATTTAACCAAGATTCAGGAACTGAGTTATTATTCTCTCTGAGATACACCTCCCCCGGAGACGTGTACTTTCTTCATTTTACCTAGGAAAGTGCTAGTAGCACTTAGCCACCTATTCTTACTGAATGTATGTTAACTTGGATTGATCTTGCAAATATTATGACAAATTTTCTAAGTTGGATATATAGATGGTTTTACCTGATGCAAAACATTCCTCGCAGATTGTGATGCCAAAACTGGGCTGGAGATGGCTTCTTGCGCTGTCTTCTCTTCCCACCTCTTTCCTTCTTTTGTTCTACAAAGTGACTCCCGAATCACCAAGATACCTATGCTTGAAAGGTAGAACAGCTGATGCAATTAATGTTTTGGAAAAAATAGCAAGAGTAAATGGAAGAGAACTTCCTTCTGGTACCCTTGCTTCTGACCATGAAATTGAGCTAGAGAAAATTGATAACCCTTCAGAGGACGCACGCTTGCTCTCACCGAGAACAAATGAAATTGAACATCCTATAGGAATGGCTTCCAATTTAGGTGGTATCTCATCATTGTTGGTGCTTCTCTCACCAAAATTGGCAAGGTCAACCATTCTATTATGGGCTGTGTTCTTTGGTAATGCTTTTTCGTATTATGGCCTTGTTTTGTTGACAACTGAGTTGAACGGACATAGTAAATGCATGTCAAATAAATTGCAGACAGAGAAGTCCCAGGGTGTTAGATACCAGAGTGTTTTTATTGCTAGTTTTGCAGGTATTTCGCTACTGGTTTCAGAGTTTTCTTACACGACCGATGCAGGAAAATGCGTGACTGATACATAACTTAATTTTGTGCGTAGAGGTACCTGGACTCCTCTTGGCAGCGGTTGCTGTAGATAAACTCGGTCGTAAACTCTCAATGTCAACCATGTTCTTCATTTGCTGTATTTTCCTTCTCCCGTTAATATTCTATCTGCCTGAAGGCCTAACAACGAGCCTTTTATTTCTAGCTCGCATTTGCATCACAGCAACCTTCACAATTGTGTACATATATGCACCAGAGGTAATGTATTACTGCAAAATCATTTTGAATTATCTTGTTGAAACAGATTATTTAAGCAACATATCCTCTAAAACTTTTTAAAAACTGCTAAAGTAGGAGAGACCCATGAATATAATCGACGAGTCTATGTCAGTGTCGGTTTCTTGGAGTTTATTATATAAAGAATGCGTTTCTTCGTAATGATTGTTTTAAAATGTGAATTTTTTTTAAATTTCTCGAGTTTTTTACTGTTAGAGCAAAATGATATGATGGTTTCTTATCGATATGGCACCGGCAGAACCAGCAAACACATCTTTCCTATAATATTAAGTAAAATACTAATGTAGTCCATTAAGTCCAACCCATTAAGACTAAAATAATTATTAGAATGTTACTATTTTAATATTATATTTTTTTGTAACATGTAAGCACTTTTTAACAGGATGAAAGCAGAGTAAATTATATAAGCACTTCATCTACCTACTTCTTGTTGTTGTTTTTCGTTAACTGAGTGGTGAAATAACATCATTTAGTAACTGCAAACAAAGTACGAAAAAACAAATTCGGGAATTATGAATTCAGCGAGCTTTATATCTACAGTTCAAGAAACTGTATTTTAGGATTAATCTTGTAATATCTTCTTTACAAAACCAATTTGGCTTTTTAATATAAAAGTGAAACTGATACAATTTGACAAATGATATGAAGAGGAGTATATTGTTTATTTTTCTTAGTTTTTTTTTCTTTTTCTGACAAATAATTGATATGCTATGTTTATCATTAGATTCTTGCTTCATTTTTCAAATAAACTTCTATATACTAATTTCATTGTTTCAACTGTATAAAACATCTTATGTGAAGTGCATGTTCAATAAAATTATCGTTTTATGTGAGGGGAATCCCACTGCCACCAATTAAAATCAACTGCATTAAGTACAGTATATAAGATGAACGGTGGATGTGGTTTGACAGGGTATAAGACGATGATACAGATAGTGAAAGATAGTTTAACAACAACATATTTTGGTTGAATATTTCTTTATACATTACTGTAATTTAATATTTCAAAGATTTATATGAACTGCAGATGTACCCAACATCAGTTCGAACAACTGGTGTGGGAATTGCAAGTTCGGTGGGCAGAATTGGTGGAATGATATGTCCTCTGGTTGCTGTGGGTTTAGTACATGGATGTCATCAAACTGCAGCTGTCCTTCTGTTTGAGATAATAGCTCTTCTTTCAGGAATTTGTGTCATGTTCTTACCCATTGAGACCATGGGCCAAGAACTGCAAGACAGTGTGCAAGTCTAAAGCAGATCAACAACATACCCACATAATGAGATCTGTGTCTCAGAACTTTTAAATCATGAAAACATACAAACAACTATAGGAGCAGAAAGACAATTGGAGAACAAGCAACTACAGGGAAAATGTTCTGCCTTCTAAAGAAACTACTGACATTCCACATATTTCTTGTTTCATTCTATTTGAACCATTTCAATTATTCCTTTCCACTTATTTTGATCCTTTTTTCACTATGCAAATACATATTATTCTGTACACTAGAGACTAGAGAGTGGATTGTTATTGATAAGGATAAAATAAAATATCATATTACTTTTTGAAATTATAAAAAAAATGGACTATAAATTTGTAAATGTTAAATATAATATTTGTGTTTAATACAGAGGAAATAGGGTTTGAAATTAATCTCCCTGAATAAATCACATATAGGGTAATCTATAATATATTATTATAATATAGAAGTACAACTAAAAAAGTAACCGAAAGTAAACAGAATAAACAGAAGATATTGTTTGATATTATGGTTAACAATATCTAACAATATCTTAATAATATCAAACTATATCTAAATAATATTTAAATAATATCTAACACTCCCCATCAAGCTGAAGCATACAAATCGTATGTGTCAAGTTTGTTACAAATATAATCAATTCTAGGCCTCCGCAAAGACTTAGTGAAAATATTTGTTAACTGATCACTTGAGTTAACAAACTCAGTCTTGATATCTCTAGACATATTTTTTTCTCGAATGAAATGACAGTCAATCTTAATGTGTTTGGTCATCTCATGAAAGACAGGATTAGAACTAATATGAAGAGCAGCTTGATTATACACACAAGTGTCATTTGAGTGACATCTCCAAATTGTAACTCTCTAAGCAATTGCTTGAGCTAAACAAGTTCACAGGTAATTGGGGTCATAGCTCTATATTCTACTTCTGCACTGGATCTTGCCACAATATTTTGTTTCTTACTTTTCCATGAGATCATGTTACCACCAATGGAGACACAATATCCAGATGTAGATCTTCTATCCGAAGGAGATCTTACCTAATCAGCATCTGAGTATCAAACAACTCTTGTATGGTTATTAGAACCATATAACAATCATTTTCTAGGAGATCCTCTAATATACTTCAAGATACGAATGACTGCATTCCAATGATCTTCACATGGTGAATTAAGAAATTGACTTACCACACTGACTACAAAGGAAATGTCAGGACGAGTAACTGTAAGATAATTCAATTTTCCAACCAATCTTCTATACTGCTCAGGATCAGATATATGCTCTCCCTGATTTGGTAGAAGTTTAGTATTGGGATCCATGGGTGTATCAACAAACTTTGAACTCATCAACCCAGTTTCCTCCAAAATATCTATGACATACTTCCTCTGAGATATAACAATACCATCATTGGACTGTACCACCTCAATACCCAAGAAATATCTAAGTTTGTCAAGATCTTTGGTCTGAAAATGATGACAGAGATGTTGTTTCAACTGAGAGATGTCATGTTTGTCACTATCTGTAAGAACGATGTCATCAACATATACTATCAAGTAAACACATCCAGCACTCGAGTGTCGATAAAAGACAGAATGATCTGTTTCACACCGAGTCATACCAAATTGTTGAATAACCTTGCTAAACTTTCCAAACCAAGCCCTAGGAGACTGTTTTAGGTCATATAGGGATTTGCGAAGATGACATATTATCCCAGAAGACTCCCTCTGAGCAACAAACCCAGGAGGTTGCTCCATATATATTTCTTCTTGCAAATCACCATTGAGTAAAACATTTTTAACATCCAGTTGATAAAGAGACCAATATTGAAGAGCGGTCATAGCGATAAATAAACAAACAGAAGCCATCTTTGCCACAGGAGAAAAGGTATCTCCATAATCCAACCCAAAAATTTGAGTATAATCTTTGGCCACAAGACGAGCTTTGAGGCGTTCAATAGTACCATCAGGTCCAACTTTGATAGCAAACACCCACATGCAACTAACAACAGATTTCCCAGACGGTAACGGGACCAATTCCCAAGTTCCATTATTATGAAGAGCACTTAGTTCATCTAACATAGTCTGACGCCAACCAGGATGGGCTAAAGCTTCACGGACAGTTTTTGGAATGGTCACAAAAGAAATAGAGAAAAGACATGTATAAAAAGGTAATGACAGTCGATGATAACTCAAAGCAATATAATGGAGAGAGGGATTACGTATAGAACGAATACCTTTTCGGAGGGCAATGGGAAGGTCAGACTCATGTGTCAGATCCGGAGGAGACAGAGTAGTTGGCACTTGAGTGGAGTCACATGGTGGTGGTTGTGATTGGTTTTGACAACTATAAATCTGAAGAGGCAGTGGAGAAGAAGTTGACTGCGGAGCAGGAACTAATGGTGAAGAAGACACAGTTAGAGGGTCACAAACAACAGGAACATTAAATGTACTAGGAGTGTTGACAAGATTGAATGGAGATAGAGGTAAAGATTGACTTTTAAAATAAAGAGACAAATCATCAAAGGTGACATCTGCAAACACAAAATAACGATTAAGAGAAGGAGAAAAACATTTGTATCCTTTTTGTGATCTTATAAACCCTAAGAAAACACATTTATGTGATCTAGGAGAAAGCTTGTCAAGACCAGAACTGAAATTATGAACAAAACATGTAGACCCGAAAACTCTCAGAGATAAAGGATGAAATGGTTCATGAGGGAATAAAATGAAATGAAGTATTTTATTATCTAAAATCGAAGAAGGCATGCGATGCGATTAATGAGATAACATGCAGTAAGAAGAGCATCACCCCAAAAATATTGAGGAACATCTCCATGAATTAAAAGTGTGCGAGTTGTTTCAATAAGATGTCTATTTTTATGTTCAGCTACACCATTTTGTTGAGGTGTATAAGCACAAAAAGTTTGATGCAAAATACTGTGAGAAGTCATGAATTGTTTAAAAGAATGAATTATCACTATGCAAAACTCTAATAGAAACACCGAACTGAGTTTGAATTTCATTAAAAAAAGTTTGAAAGATATGAAATAATATAAAACGATTTTTCATCAAAAATAACCAAGTAGATCTGGAATAATCATCAATGAAAGTAACAAAGTATTGAAAGCCTAAAGTAGACTTAACGCGGCTAGGTCCCCAAATGTTAGAGTGAACCACAGCAAAAGGGGACGAAGCACCACGTGTAAAACTACGAGGAAAGGAAGTATGACTATGCTTGCCTAATTGACATGACTCACACGCCAAACTAGATCAGTTGAACAAGGCAGGGACAAACTTCTGTAATTTGGCAAGACTTGGATGACCTAACTGAGCATGAAGAAGAGAAGGAGACTCCATAATTGTATTAACATGTGTAGAGGGACGGAGATAATAAAGACCATGAAACTCACATCCTGTGTCAATCACCTGTTTCGAACTCCTGTCCTGTAAACACACAGAATTGTTGGTAAAAGTAACAACACAATCAAGAGAACGAGTTAGACGACTGATGGACAACAGGTTAAAATGAGACTCAGGGACATAAAAAACATTATCAATGGTTAAAGAAGGAAAAAATTTAACCGTTTCAACATCATGAGATGATACTCTAGAGCCATTAGCCAGTGTAATAGAAGGTAAATAATTAGGAGAGGATAAAGAGGAGAACAAAGATTTGTTACCAATAATATAATCAGTGGCTCCTGAATCAAAAACCTAAGGACCGAGAGAAAATAATTGGGTCAGACCAGCAAAATATGTATTTGTATGTGTGACAGATATAGTGGAACCAAAAGACTGTTGATCCTTATACCATTCGAGAAATTTGTTAAACATAGCAGACATGTCAGATGCAACAAAAGGAGGATCCCCAATAGATAAAGGTAGGGAAAGATTGGTCTGAACAACTGCAGTAGATTGAGGACGACGATCATGTAATGTATAATACTTGTTAATCTTGTGACCTAACTTGCCACAATGTTTACACTTAGGACGCTCTTTTCCCTGTTTGCGAGGGCGGGTCCAGTCATCACGATGGGATGTCAACACAAAAGAATTATTAATAAAATTGGAAATAGTAGAAGTGGAAGAAGTCATGAAGAGTGGGAGACTAAATCCTAAAACAATCCAAAGTAATCCAGTTAACCCACGAAGCACAAATCCAAAATGAGAATACTAAAAATAAGTTCGCCAAGACTAAACGGCACAAGAGACAACGGGACAACCAACTCCGATAGTGGTGATCTCAATGGCACGGTGGTCACCTGACCGAGACAAGCAAAATTATATGTCACCAGTCAAAAAAAAAAAAATGAAACTCTGGCGAATTCTCCGGCAGCAGCGGATCCGATGACTGCTCTAGCGGCAGCGGTGACAGCAACGTGAACCAGTACATCAGGTAAGTTCCCAGAAAAGAGAGGTGGGTCACTAATGGACACACTTAAATACCAAGTCTTTCCTTGTCAGAACTTCCTAGACATGCACTTTCACACTACCAAATAAAATTTAGTAACAAAGATAATTATTTTCTGATGTGGAGGATCAGTTTACCAGCAGCGGTGGGGCGGTTCTAGCAGCGGTGGGGTGCGGCTCTAACAGTGGTGGGGCGGCTCCAACAGTGGACAAAAGGCGAAAAAAATAAATAAATTCAAGATAACCTTAAGCTCTGATAGCATGTTGAATATAGAAGAAATAGGGTTTGAAATTAATCTTCTTTGTGTATAAATCACACATAGGATAATCTATTTATAATAGAGATACAACTAAAAGAATAACCGAAAGTAAACAGAATAAACAGAAGATATTGTTTGATATTATGGTTAACAATATCAAACTATATATAAATAATATCTAAACAATATCTAACCGTTGTTATCATAAATGCTTTTAAGAAATTAAAATGGGAAAATCTTTCAAATAAGTTATTTTACAAGTAAAAAATAATTTAAACAGATTTGATTTGTAGAAGTTTTTCATGTTAACTTTTCTAAAATTGATTTAGTTGACGAAGAATTTATTTCATCATTTTATTTTTCTTAAAACTACTTTTAGATTAATGATTAAAATTTCTCCATTAAAGTTATAATAATAAAAAATTACAGCAAAAATGAGAGAGTTAAAAATTTATAGTTATTAATTGAAATTTAATTTTCCAAAAGTTAAATCTTTGAAATATAACACACAATGTTAGTTTAAAAGATAACTTCGAAATTTGTATTACTGTTATCTTCGTATTATATTAATTTTTAAAACAATAAAACAAATTACTACATATTTACATTACATTTTTAAAAAATAATAACACTTATGTAGAAAACACAATAATTTATATTTAAATCATATTTTTTAAATTATTTTTTTGTTCATTTCAAATTAATATTTAAGTTCCCAATTCCAATACAATTTAAGATGGATTAAGAAGTAGTTGATAAAATTTTTTGTAATGTTCCAATAAGCACAAGGATTCAATCCTAGTTTGTGGTTTGTTTTTAAATACTAATTAAATAATGTTATATTAAATTAATATTATTTTATATATTTTATTTTGTTTTTAACTATATGCTTTTAAGATAATTCAATTTAAGTTAATCTATTTTTATTCCTCAATCTATTAATTAAATTTATAGAAACATGACATAATTGTTTTTAAATTAATATATATATATATATATATATATATATATAAATGATTTATGTAAAAAAAAGTAAGTTTAATATTATAGATGTCCAGTTAAAAATATATATATATATATATATATATATATATATATATATATATATATATATATATATATATATATATATATAGTTTTGTTTCTGTTTTAAATATTTTGATAATTTGTTTTTTTTTTAGAAAAAAAAATGTAAGTTTTGAAACATATAAAAATTCATTTTATACAAATACTTTTTTTAAATATATATATATATATATATATATATATATATAAAGATATAAATTTTAGTAATTATTTTTTATGTGATTTTTAAAATTTTATTTTTACTTGTAATATTTTGATAATTTTTTTTAATTTTATAAATCTGTTTTCTATTTGTGTTTTTAACCCCTACAAATAAAACGTAGGAATACTTTTAAAAGATATAAAATTCATGGTAGACAAATAATATTTTTTTAATAAGTTATAAATTAATAACTAAAATATGGTTAATAATCAAATTAAAATTATGAATAAATAATAATAATAATTTAAAAAAATAGAAAATATTTAGCATAAAACTCAAATTCAATAGTTATATAATTTCATATTAATTATATTTTGAAATATTTATGCATCTTAAATTAGGTATTATATTTCAAATTAGAACTATATATTTTTAAAAAATATTTTAATGTAATAACTTTATAATTAATAATACAATTTATCTACAAATATTGAAAGAAAAATCAAACGTATAAATTAATTTAATTCATTTAAAATATAATATCATTAAAAGTTATTATAGTTATTTAATATTAATAGAAACTCATGTTCTATTTGTTGTCATTTTATATTATATATATATATATATATATATATATATGTAATATTATTTTTATATTTGATTTATGTAATATAAGGATATTGTTATTTTTTTAGTGAAAAGACTTTGTATAATTATTAATTTATATTTTATTAGTATGTTTTATTATTAGAATCTTCAATTTTATTAAATAAAATTTTGGCAAGTACTCATAATTTATTTTTAATTCTATTAGAAACAGGTTTATAAAAATAGATGTTAATTTATAAAAATGAATGAAAAATTAGATGAATTAAGAGACTAATATTGTTTTCATGCAATAGAATCCGCAAACCACCCTAATTATAAGCAATTTTATTGAACACACTCATATAATTTACATTTATTTAGAAGGTACTCACCACTAGATGAATAGACAGGTACTGTTCATAATTTGCATTTTGGTGAGATTCTTGTGCGGGTTTTGAAGATCTTTCCTCTTCAGATTCATGGCGGCAACCCAACCACCGCAGGTTCCGGATCGTCCTACCGGTGCGTGAACGCCTCTCAACTCCGTTATTTTTTTTCTTCTTTGTCTTCTTCTTAATTTTGACCTTCCTAAATTTCTCTTTCGACGAAGTCAATGATTAATTGAGAAAAAAATTTAATTGTTCATGAATTCAACACAAAAAAAAAAAATTCTTATTTTGATTGCAATTGATGTTCCATGCCCATTATCTTTTTTTAATTTTTAATTTTTTTTTCTTTCTTTCTGTTTTGCCTTAAACCTTGCATCTGAGTAAGACGATAATAGGCTGTATTGATCTGGGTAGTTTGATTTCTGTGTAATGAATGACCGCCGGCCGGTGTTATCAGGAAACAAAGAATTGTGAACTCTGGCTGTAATCCCTCATGGGATGACCGTGGTCTGGTCTTAGTTAACAACTAAAGATTTTATAGTGGGTTTGGATTGGGGTTTGGTGACCGAGAGATAAGTTATCCCTATATAAGTCCGACATTTTCGTATTACAAATTTCATACTCATAGCTTAAATTATCAACTGCACTGGGAGACTACAATCTGAAGGGGAATTCATTTTATTTTTGTATGGGGATTTATGTTATGCATCCATTTCTTTCCAGCAATACTGTTTCACTGCGCTTGTTCACTTGCCTGCTTTCCATTTGAAAGTTTATTCAGCTCTTTGATTTGCACATGTGGATTTGTGTGCTTGTAGTTATTAAGTCAGATTTTGTCATCTCCAAATTTATCTTTGGTTGGTCAATAATCTGTACGGCTACTATTTGTGTTTCTAACTCATACTGTCACTGAGCATATTTGATCATGCATGCAGAAGAGATACCAGCCGAACAAGATAACATGAAGGAGCAGGTAGTGGTTCTTTCACCAGTACAAAAAGTAGTCCGTTCCCTGATCAACTGAGAGTTACACTCCATTGTAACCTTTTATTTTATTTTCATCTAATTGATTCTAATAATTAACTCACTTTTATCCATTAGATTAAGAAAAAATAAAGGGTGAAGATGGGAAGTAACTCTCCTAAAGTGCTCAGTCACTTAACTCTTCTTCACACACACACATATATATACTTAATTCATTAATACAATATCTTCCAAGTCTTCTCAGAGTACAGCGACTATAGGTCATTCGAGGGAGACCACAAGTCAATCAGGATCTTTAGGTTTCGGCAGTGATGGTCCTCTGTATCCTCCTAATGTGTATGCTCCCCAAGCTCAGGCTTTCTACTACAGAGGTTAACCTTCATTTCTGCAAATCTTTTTTATTCTTTGAAAGTATTATCTCTCTCTTATTAAGTTCACCAACCACCTAGGAATTTCAGTTTTACTTACATGAATTTATGTTTTTCATATATGTGGGAAATGCTATTGTAACTTCCTCATGATTATGCATTATTATTGTCTTTGACATTTTGAAATAAATTGCTGAAATGGTTCTATCATTTCAAAACACATGACTGTAATGAAACACTCGTCTGAGTTGTTTAACCTTTTACAGTCTAATGTATAGGTTGTTAACCTTCAATTGTTTTCCTTGTTATCCATCTTTATGCACATTCATGTCACACAACTTTAGAAATAGATGCTTTTAATTTTAATTATTTTTTATAATCCATTTGAGTTTGCAAAAGTGAGATTTTAGATAAATTTTATTGCTTTTGAAGTGAATGGAGTGACTTTGTTCTTTTATGTCGTAATTTAGTAACGAACTGTTGGACACTTCTGTCCAATTTTTCTTTTCCTTATACTAGCACCACATGTTATGTTATCAGAGAATTTTTCAAATTGCAAAGTGGACATCGACAATTGGAATCCCAGTTGTCATATGGTGCTCTGTGTGCTTTGTCGTGCAAATTTTATTTGGTAACTGGTTTTGCTATTGCTATCTTCTAATTTTTAGTGAGTCTGATTCCAGGTTTTGACAATGGCAATGGTGAATGGGATGAATATTCTTCGTATGTCAATTCTGAGGGATTAGAAATTGGATCTCCTGTGAGAATTTGACATCTCTTTTTTATTTATGCTCAGTTTGTTTGTGATTCTTATACAACATATGTTCTTTTAAACTTTTTCTAGGGTGTCTACAATGAAAATCCATCTCTTATTTTCCATTCTGGATATGGCTTCAACCCACAAATGCCTTATGGACCATATTCCCCAGTTACCACACCTTTGCCTTCTGTAGGTGGAGACACACAGTTATACTCCTCGCAGCAATTTCCATACACTGGACCACCTTATTATCCTCAGCTGATTCCTCCTAGTTTATCATATCTTAATTCACCTACTCCAGTTTCACAGCCAGAGCTCACCAACCTGGTAGGTATTGACCAACAAGTTGATAACATGTTTTTTGGACCAAGAGCAGGCTATCCATCAGTGGGATCTTTTGGTAGAGGCAGCTTTCCTGTAGCACCTGGTTCGTTTGGCTTTCATGAATCCCAACAAGGATTTGAGGGATCAAGATCCGGTGGAATCTGGTCAGATTGCTCAAAACCCTCTGAAAGACAGAGATCTTTGATGCCTCTATCTCCATCTGTTTCTCCACAGCCAATGAGCTCACTTGGGTCATTTGGGCCGAGTGTTGGAATGGTTTGTTCTATAACTTGAGCATAATTATGCAAAATATTACATTTTCTAGTAAATATTTGAGATTTTGATATTTTGGGAAATCAATGAGTAATCTTGCTCTTCACTGATGTATATTTATACATGCAAATCTGAATAATAAAAGGACAACTCTGAGAAATCAGAGATAAAGGCTATACAGCCTATGGCATATCTAAATAATAAAAGGACAACTTTAGAAAAGCTATACAATAAAAGATAATTATTATTTTAACACTTTTCCTCAAGTAGGAGTATGCACCAAGCTTGGAACATATAAACTGAATTTGAGGTCCTTTCAAGGATTTAGTAAAAATATCTACAATTTGATTACTGAAGTTGATAAATTCAGTACTAATTTCCTTGGATATTTCTTGAATAAAATGACAATCAATCTTAATATGTTTGGTTCTTTCATGAAACATTGGATAAGAATTTATTTAGCAATGTGAAAGACTGCTTGATTATTATGTATAACTTAATTTGTTGGAATTCACTAAATTCTATTTATGAAGTTGTTTGATCCACACAAGTTCACATGTAACTAAATCTATAACTCGGTATTTTTGCTCCTTGAAAAAATAAGATTTCCACCAATGGATACACAATAATGCCTAATAGTAGAGTGCCTGCCTATAGGACAACATGCCCAATCCATGTTACAGTACTCACAAAATTGAGTATTTCCCTTATCCTCATACAACAACCCTTGTCCAAGAGCCTTTTTTATATACCTTAGAATGTGTATAACAACATTTCAATGTTCAATGCAAGGATCTACATAAATTGGCTAACAACTCCAACATCAAAAGAAAGATAAGGTTTTGTAACTGTGAGGTAAATGAATTTCCTACCCAATCTCCTATGTCTCTCATGACCTATGAATGGTTCACCTTGACCAACCAATAACTTTTTGATTTTTGATCCATTGGACTCTCAATGGCCCTATACTTAGTCATGCTGATTTCCTCCAAAATGTCTAGATAAAGGCAACTAATTAAAGTACAATTCTTAGTAATCAGAGATAAGGGCTACGTCCTATGAAATACTAGACGCAACAAAAGCAGCCTTATAAAAGTTGTACAAATAAATAATTATTTTAAAAAATAATTTAATGGCTTAAATGAAAGAGATAAACCTTAAAATGAAGAATAATAGAAAGTGTTTTGTTTAAACACTGCTCTAAATTTCAGTAGTAATGAGGGCTTGCTTTACAACTACAAAGGTAATAGAAAACAATAACACTTATGTTAAAGTTAAAGAGAGCTGTATGTCCAACTGAATAATCCTTAAATGTCTAACACTACCTCTCCACTTGGAGCATGTATATCATATGATCCTAGATTGTCAGAAATATTATCCTCCACATGACTTTGAGGATGTCAACAAACTGGTCATTTGAGGTGGCAAAAGTTGTGACAATGTCACCTAAATGGATTTTGTTCCTTATAAAATGACAATAGATTTCAATATGTTTGGTTTTGTCATACTTGATTGGGTTCTTGGTAATATGTAGGGCAACTTAATTTTCTCACACATTCATTTGTTCAATATCTCCAAAACGAAAATCTTTTAGAAATTATGTCTAGCTCATAGGTTGAGTTGTCAAAGTGAGCCAATCCAGCTCATCTAAGTTGGCTAAAAAGGGAGTTTAGCTGGTGTCCCTAGTTTATGGTACACAAGAAAAAATGCCACTTAGCTTGATTCACCTAGGATTGGTGGGCTAGCCTCATTGTTTTCAAATAAAAAAATGAAAATGCGTATAAATATTATTGCTTCAAAAGATGAAAGTGAAGGAGCTGCGAAATCTAATTAATGCTTATGAACAAAGACATTTTGAGAGAAATGTGAAAATAATTGTTTTTCAGACTTTGCATGCAATAGCTTCTTCAATAAATGATAGTGGGGGTATCAAAATCAAGAAGGAAAAATGGAAAGATTCTTCAATTAAGAATTTTGCTGGTGACAACCTCCAGAATAATGGAGGTCATGGAAAAATTGGCAAGGGAGGTGATCAAAGTAAAGAGCCAGAGAAAGTTTCATAAGAGGAATGTAAAATGTTATGCTTGCCAAAAATGGGGTCACTTTGCAAATTAGTTCTGCAACAATAAAGGAATACAAGTGATGGAGGATGAAAATGGAAGAAGGAGATAGTGATGATTTTTATTCTAAACATGTCCCTTCTCTTGGTGACAACATCAAATTGTACCTAATGTGATTACTACTAGTATTTGGACATAAACCACTAAGAGCAAATGGTCATAAAAAAAGTCAAAATAATGGTTAAGTTTATTGATAATAATATGATTGCAAGTAAAGGGTTAGGCAAGGTTCTAATTCAAAGGAGAGATGATAAAAAATCATTCATAATAGATTTTTTATGTACTACAAATGAAGACCAATCTATAACCTTTGGGTAGCTATCGAAGAGAGGTATCATAAAATGGAGCAGAATATGATGAAGTATGACAAGAGAAAACTGATTTTTTATAAAACCGTAGAATCTTCAAAATTGGAATTCATAGTGGTGAGAGTCATTGTTTTGCAGATGAAGATCACAATTGGCTTTGGCATCTAAATATCAGAAGTCTGAGCCTATCGAAATATGAAAGGGATACTGCATTATTTGATCTATATAGAGCAACAAAAAAAAGGCTACCTCGTAAGCAAACACACCAAAATTCCTTTAAGTCCAAGGAGATAATAAATGTGGTGATCCATCAAAGTTCTTATGAGGGTAATGAATACAACTCAACTGATTTTGACTCTAGTTGTGATAAGAGATAATTCATGTAGTTTACATGATGTGGTGATCCATCAAGTTCTTATGCCAAAATAGTTTTGGGAAGAAATTGTATCCATAACAGCCTATATTTTGAATAGAAGAGTAGGAGCTTACAAGATGTGACTTTGGTGGAAGCATGGTTAGGAAGAAAACCTATGGTAAATCATCATTGGGTTTTTATTTGTCTTTACTTTAGACATGTACCAAATGAAAAAAAGAACTTGGATGGCAAGGGAGGGGCAATGGTGTTTCCTGGGTACCATTCAGAGGGTGCATACAAATGGTACAGCCCTATTAGTCAAATGCGTATTTGGTTTCTAAATTTCAGACTTAAGGACAAGTCTGATTTTCAAGGAGGGAAGATTGATAAAGCCCAATTAGAGAATGAAGGCCAGAATTGTCTGCTTGCACATTAGCAAAATGGGTCCACTGTTTGGAGGCACAAGAGGAAGCAAGGAAAGTATGATGAGGTGGCAGAGAAAGTGGTGTGACTGTCATGAGTGGAATTTGGTTATAGTGAATTTTTGGAGAGAGAGGGAGGGGATCATATCATTTTGGGAAGAAAATTAATAATTTTCTGTTAGGTATCCAAATCTCTTCTCTTTAGGTGCTTAGCTCTATTGGCAATTTGGATATTTTCCCCTTTGCAAATACTATCATTTTCAGAAATAAAATAGTATTTTATCTTCATTAACATTTCTATTCCTTATTATTTGCCATTTTTGAGATTTGGTTCCTAACAAATACTAACAGTTAAAGCTATTGATACAGAACTAAAATGTTAAGGCTCGCAGAAATATCCCTTTGTACCTGTGACAAATTTGTTTTTGATAACTTAATATTTCCCTTGTCTCTGCCTATATACCTGTACAATAGTACCTTTCGCCATCATTGGCATTTATCAGAATCTAGATTTTATTAGTTGGAAACAGTTTAATTGGCAATGCTTGTATTTGAGTGAAAGTAAAAATTCAGTGAATTTTAAATGAAATAATGGGTAACAGTAGGTTTTCAGTTTTGTTTTTTTTATGTGATCTCAGGTCCAATGACTAAAAACTGATATTAACATAATCCAATAAAATTTCTGAATTGTGGTCTTAACCGTTGCTTATCATATATGCATGATGAAGTATTACTATGCACGGCAACAATGTGAAACAGTAGAAGTTGCCTGAGCGCAACAAATTTATACATTGTCAATTTGTCACATAGTGCTGACAACCCTGTTCTGTGCAGGCTTCTCATCAACAGCAACCATTGTATGGGTTTGGATCTGGTTCAAACTCTTATGGTAGAGGCTTCCTGCCTAACCAGGGCTCTAGCTTTGGAGGCACTTCTATTTCCAATCTTAATGATAGAAGTTGTGCTTCTCTTGAAAATAGCAGGAGGCAAGGGCGGCCATCTGCATCCCTTTGCAATTGTAATGGTACTCTTGATATCCTTAGTGAGCAGAACCGAGGACCGAGGGCCTCAAAGCTGAAAAATCAAATTTTGGCTGAAAAAAATTCTGTGGATAATAGTAAAAATAGTGCATCTACTGCCAAGTTCCAAAATGAATCACTCAATCGGTCAGATTTTGCCATAGATTACAAGGATGCCAAATTTTTTGTCATCAAATCTTACAGTGAAGATAATGTTCACAAGAGCATTAAATATGGTGTCTGGGCTAGTACACCAAATGGAAACAGGAAGTTGGATGCTGCATATCGCCAAGCAATGGAGAAGCAAGATGCCTGCCCTATATTTCTCTTTTTCTCGGTAAATTTCTGATATTTGTAGCTACTTTAAGTCCAAATATCATGCTACCATTTTCTAGATATAGTAACTAAATATTTCTCGTCCTGTGTTTGCAGCAAACCTTGGTTCAGAGTCTTCTTTAATAGTCTCAATTTCTGTTAAAAAATGAGTCTTTTTGAAGAATAACTGTTTTGTTTCAGTTTCCTAAGATAGCTTTTGGAAATAAAAAGGTGTTTATTTCCATGAAAATAACTCCAAACGAAGATTCAATGGGTTTAGTTCTCGACCTTGTATTTATAGCATTGTATTGTTTTAGCTATAGATTTTATGGGATAGGGCATTTGACATCTCTTCAGGCTCATATTAGGTTAAAATATAGTACCAAATAATTTATATAGTTTTTCATCGTTTTTGTTTGATATTGTGTTTCTCTAACATGAGATCATTTCCATGAAAATTTTTGCCACAACTATTTCCAGGTAAATGCTAGTGCTCAGTTCTGTGGAGTAGCTGAAATGGTTGGACCTGTCAATTTTGACAAGAGTGTCGACTTCTGGCAGCAAGATAAGTGGAGTGGGCAGTTTCCGGTGAAGTGGCAGATAATTAAAGACGTTCCAAACAGTCAATTTCGTCACATTGTTCTTGAAAATAATGATAACAAGCCTGTGACTAACAGTCGAGATACCCAGGAGGTAGAAAAATAAGTCTTTCGCTATCTACGAATTTACGAAACATGCTTTAAACATTTTACTGTCTTTACTCTAAGTTCATAACATGTCAGATTTGGGAGGAAGACAAATGGAAATTATTACTGCAGTGTATCAATGAGAAGACTTCTGAGAATTGAATGTTGAGTTGCATATTGCCTTGAGAAACCTTCTCAAACTTTTGGACGACCAAAAGTTATTTTTGTCCTGAGTTTTATATTCACCTTGGTGTTTGGAATTACATTTGGGTCATCTACCAAGTTTACCTTTTTTGTCTTAATTAATGTTCATATAGTTATTGTTTCTAATTAAAGTGGCGAATGAACATTTAGGTCAATTTAGCATCCGATCCTAGGTATCACTTTAATTCTATAAACTTGCAAAATCGATTGTAAAAATCAGTTGATTATGTGTTAGTAAAAATTTCATGATTGAATGCTACTGATTTTTGGTTCTTCTCTGTTTTTAAACATTACAGGTGAAGTTGCCTCAGGGGATTGAAATGTTGACCATTTTTAAAAACTATGAAACTGATGTTTCCATCCTTGATGATTTTGATTTTTATGAAGACCGGCAGAAGGCTATGCAAGAAAGGAAGGCACGGCAGCAAAGCAGCATGATGGCTACTGGGTTAGTGGGAGAAAATGAGCATAGGAGTTCTGCAAACACTACTGGTGATTTAATGAAGCAGATGTCAAAGAGCTTTGCAATAGTTGTCCGCTTAGACGAGAATAACAACGAAGTTGCTCCGGACAGAGATAGTTTAGTCTCTCATGGCCCCATTGGTAATGTAGTTAAATGTGATGATGGTCAATCAGTGACGTCTTCTTCAACTCAAACCAATTAGGAAGACATTCCAGTTGTCCCTCACATTTGGTGATTGAAAATTGGATTCATCCTGCTTTATCTCATTGTTTTTTCCAAACAAGGTAGCGTTGCTGTTGTTATTCAAGTCCTTGCAGTATTCACGTAAGAGAATGGGTTTCATGTAGAAATGTCTCCTACATAGTGTCGTTTTGTTTTAGTCATCCCCACCTCAAGAAAATAATAATAATAATCATAACTTCTGTTCATTTGATTATATAGGTTAGTAGAGATTTTTTTTTAATCACCACTTTTGTTTAAGAATTTCGTGTTAAGTGTTTCGATTGTAAAATTTCCTCATCTTTACCAGCGTTTTAATAAAGGCAGCATATCCCTTGAAAATATTCTTCTTTTACTTGTATTAGTTTTAATAACGTGTTCACATTTTTTTATACTATTTTATTTTAACAGTTGAAATCTAATGTTTATATTGATTTTAATTTTATATTTTAAATTTAATATATGAATTATTTTTATTTTATTTTATGTTTCTTCATTTATTATATGCAAATAGTAGCTTAATTAAATATATTTTTTATCATATATAGTATTGAAGTTATTTTAATGAAAAATTTGATTATAGAAAATTATACGTTAAAAAGATAAAGTATTATGTTATTATATCATCAAAATATTTAATATAAAATGTATTAAAAACAAAGTATATTTGATATTTGTAGTCATGTGAGTCTCTTTATTTCTCACGAGTAAATTATTTTAGGTATAATTTTGAGCGAAGCGGAGGTGAAAGGGCGTTGAAGAGAACAATTTGAGCGAAAAGTATGATTAGATGTTGCACTAGATAGACTGACTACACTTGATATTTGATAACTCACTTTATTAATATAAATATAATATAATATAATATAATATAATATAATAATAATAATAATAATAATAATAATAATAAGGATTAGATGAAAATAAAAATAATTTAAAATTATTATTATAATATTAAAATCAATTATAGGAAAGATATTTGTAGCACTGTACTTTTTAGATTTTGCCTTATTCAAATATCTACTTTTAAAAGGAAAATGACGTTTCTACAAATTTTTTTTACCTGTATTTATCAGACAACTCTATATATTAATATAATATTAATAAAAAATAATTTTTTATATCTATTTTTATTATATTATTAAATAAAAGTTATAGAATGTATGTTTAAGAATTTGTGGGGGCAAAGTAATTACTGACTTTTAAACAGAAATAATTTATTAACAACCGTTACATTCAACTTATATCTGATTACATTAATCAAATAATAATATTTAAGGTTACATTAATATTTTTTATTGTTGTTTGGATATTGAAGTTGTCAATTAATTGCTGTTCTTTTTAAAATAGGACTAGTTCAACTTGTTAAAGGTTATTATTCTAACAAGTAATATCAAATTGAATTCATAAACAAAATATTTGTCTTAATCATTAAGTTAGTCTCCATAAATTTTACTCTTTTAATAAATAAGTAATTAAACAACATAATTACAAACACAACATCTCTTTAACATAACATAATTATCCTCAACACAACAACACAAATGTATTTGTCTGGTATACTCTATCTAGATCAGGAGCACGACATTTTTTACATAATCGCGTTGTCTCCCACTCTCATTTTTTTGTTGTTGTAAAAAATAAACATATATGCAACCACTACCTTCTTGCTCCCACTATTACCGCTACATGACAAAGATGATTCCAGGAATGAAATTACAAACGTAAATTTAGGGATAGCAACAAATAATTTAGGATAGAGGAAAAGTTGAGAAAAATTTAGGCTCCATCACTAATATATTTCGTCTCATGATACATTATGAAAAAAAAACATTAGACGATAACATATTCTATTTATTATAGCATAAGTTCCCTTTAACCACATAAATAATAAATTTTTTTAGACTTTATATTCGCTAGCAATATGAATGTTTAAGTGCAGCAAATCATGAATCACTAAACTAATCTTTTTTATCAAAATGATGTCCAACGTATGACAAATCCAAAAGGATAAAACACGATAAACGTTGTCATTCTACCAGTTATATCAGAAACACGGACTTTAAAAAGAGGAAAAAGAAATTGTTCAGACCATTATTTGTATGGTTCTATGTATGCATTGGGCTTCTCTCTCTGTCCAAAAAACGTAAAGAACCAGAATTTCATAATAATGAGTACAATATATTAATAAATAATTCATACATTTTATATTAAAATAATTCATAAAATCATTAGAAATAAATTAAAATTAAGTTCAATATATTTTTGTATTTTATTATATACTAAAGTAGTTCTATCTCATTACTTTTATGAATTTTCATATAAAAATAATTATTTATTTTAAAACTCTAATTTATTATACTTTTATTTTAAAAATATGGCTTTATAAATTTAAAAATAAGTGATATATATAAAATTATCTTTCATTTTTCCTTTTAATAGATAACTAATCATAAAATCATATTTTAAATATAAAATTATAATAAATTAGAGTTATAAAATAAATATTTATTTTTATATGAAAAATCATAAAAGTAATGAGATAGAACTACTTTAATATATAATAAAATACAAAAATATATTGAACTTAATTTTAATTTATTTCTAATGACTTTATGAATTATTTTAATATAAAATGTATGAATTATTTATTAATATATTGAACTCATTATTATGAAATTCTGTTTCTTTACGTTTTTAATGAGACGTGAATTGGACACAATCAACGAAAATGTCTCCATATTAATTTCAAAAGTATTTTAAATTTTACAATTCTAATATGCAAAGACCTTGTACTTAAAACACCTAAATAAAAGATGACATACATAAACTCGATTACTAAATTACGTACTCTTAGACTATGGACTGGACTCCTGAGCCTAGAGAAACACAACTAATTTAATTTTGAAGAAATTATTCTGATGCATAAGAAAATGTGATTATTAATGTGGTGGACTATTTTCTCTCTTTTATTTTATTTTAAATAGCAGAAGAAAATATGAGGCAACGGGGAACGAAAAGGAAATGGAATATACGGAAATGGATGAAATCAAGGAGAGTATGAGAGAGAATTAAGTGGACGAGTAAAAGAGTAGAAAAAGAATATGGATGCGAACACCATCATGACGTTAATGACTATGAAGACGACGATCAGTGTGTTGGACATCTACGCCTATGGCGCTTGGGGCATCCTTGCCTCTGTTGTTGTGTTCCTTGTTATGTTATTGTTTTGGCAACGTAACAGATTTTTCTTCGCTCCATCTCCGTCTCAATCTCCGTCCTCTTCCTCTCTCGTCCCCACCGATTCTATTATTTCAAAATCCAGGTCTCTAGTCCACGTCCTTCTTTTTGTCTAATGTATTCATCGTTCAATTCCAACTGTAATGATGATTTTTTTTTTCTTTTTTCTTATTTTGCAATCTACACTTTTGATTATGCTATCGCTGTATATTGATCTTCTCATTTTTCAATTTGAATTGTTTGATCTAAGCTCTTGATATTAACCTCAAACTAATTTTTAAACATTGAAAAAGAAAATGGAGAATTGTAATTTGGACTTTGGTTTTAGCAACAAAAAAAAACCTAGGTTACTTGAGTTGAGTGTAGTCATCAATGAAAGAAGGCAACCATCTTGCCCAAAAAACATAGGAATAAAAGTACCCCAAACATTCCTATGAATGAAATGAAAAAGTACCTTAATTCTTTTTTACACAGTGGAAAGTTTACATACTTGTGTTTGTTTAGCAAGTTCGCAATTGACAATGGAAATGGTCAACATTCATTGCGGTAAATAAAAAAGGAAAAGAAAGAGTGTTCTACTTCTGGTTACAGTGGTCTTGTTGGAGGTAATCTCATTTCATAAAAAGTAAAGTGCTGTTAGCTCTAGCTCTTAGGGTAGGTAGAGCCACACCCCTCACCTTGTGAACGAATATAGGTCAAACAACTGCGTCAAGAGTTAACAGTTATGTAAAACAGCCCCATGAGTGTCAATTGTGATAATCTGTCAACCTTACACTTCAATTCTAATTCTTTAATATTGAGCTAAACTGTCGTTTTGCTCATGAGAAATTTGTTTCTGGAAATATTACTACCTTATCTTTTGGTCCCAAAGATCAACTAGCAAATATCTTTTTTAGGTCTCTTCATGGACCATGGATATCATACATATGTAGCAAGCTAGATGCATGACTTGTACACATTAGCTTGAGAGGGAGTGTTATGCTGAGATTGAGATTATGATTGTGTTAGAATATTTCTTCTAAATTTTTCATTTTATTAGCTGCACATTTGATCGTGTGATATATATATATATATATATATATATATATATATATATATATATATATATATATATATATATATATTTTAGGAACCTTCTTCTACAATGTTTTCTATATAATTGATTGGTTGAGAGCCTCACTCTCTAGCAAGTTTTCACAAAGTTATTTGTTCCTTGTCTCTGTTTTATGTAGTAATAATGTCTTAACTTAAACATAGGGAACATGGAACGCTCATTATTGTATTGAAAAGGATTTTTCCAAGCATACAATTGTCAGTGCATACTTTTTTATCACTGGAAAATTTAGCACTAAACTTCAATTTAAACAAACACTGGGACAACGTAATATTTTCTAGCATTGAGTTAGGTGTATAATAAGATGATTTGACAATGTGGAATTTTTTGTCTACTCTTTCAGAACCTCAAATTTTGTGACAGATGCTGATTTGAAATTTTTAATGGAGATTTTGGATGAGAAGCTCAATGAGAGTGATAAATGGGAGGAAGTCCTAGATAAAAGGAACCATCATCTATGCTACCATGTGAAATGCTGCAAGCCTAAGGTAAACGATTTTATTTATTTTTATCAGGATTGCCTACTTGAATCGATCATGGTATTTTCTGCGAAAGTTAACACATAACTTTGTTTTAATAATAATAAAATGTTGCTGTCATAATTGTTGTCGACTTATTGTCTAAAGTTTATGAAACTTTAATAGTTATATAGTTAATAAAGCATATCTGTATTTCGCCCTTTTTTCTCTCACACGATGAGCAGCAATCTCCAGGTACAAACACAGATGCACAGTCAAACCATCCTCTGGTGCACTCTGTCCTTTAATCGGCATAAACTTCTATATAGTTCAGTAGCAACTTATTGAGTTCATATTAAGGGAAAATAGAATTTTAGCTGTTAGATTTTTATCCCTGTTCATTTTTCTTTTAAATGATAAATGATAATGTTAGGAGGTTACCTCTAGTTCTTGTTCTGCTCTTTCAGTGTGTAATCATAATTTAGATAGCATCTAATTCAGTAACTGTTATGTGCATATGAAAACAGAATGGTTTTGAAAATGATCTATATATAAACCACATAGTTGTTTCTCCAATGACGTTGCAGAATGGCCCCCTGAAATATTTGAGCAAGACTGTTTTCAATGATGTTTCATCTGAGATGCTAAGAAACTTCTACATGGACAATGATTACAGAAAGCAGTGGGATAAAACACTGGTTGAGCATAATCAACTGCAGGTAGACGAATCTAATGGTATTGAAGTTGGTCATACAATTAAAAAGTTCCCTCTTTTGAAGCCTAGAGAATATGTACTAGCTTGGAAGCTGTGGGAGGGGACTGATAAAACGTTTTACTGTTTTATGAAGGTAATACACCAATTATGGTTTTCAATGTAATAATAATGTGAATAATCACTTTTATCAACTGATTATTGTTATTGAACATTATATTTGTGAATTGTTATTGCATAATATATTGTGATTAGTGTTAATACCCCATTCAATTGTGAATTATGATTGCATTAATATATGAATGTTCATGTAGCTATATCTCTCCCCTATTCATTTTAGAGGAGCAATCTATGTAGGAAAGAGGAAAAAATAATGATCAAGTTCTTAGAAAATATATTGGTCAAGAAATTAGAGATCCAGATTATAACTTAGAAGACACTATTGTTCCCATGTAATACTATCATCTGGTAATTATCAATATTTTCACATTTTTTTTATTCTTCTATTACCTATTTGGAGATTTATTTATTGGGATTTGTATGATATGTACTGGCATATTTTCACATTAAAATATTCTGGTTTCTCATTATATACAATTAAATAGAAGTTGATAACCATTGCAAGTCCTGCATACTTGGTTAGGAAGAACTTTCGTATGCCTTGTTGTTATAGGCAAACAGTTCAGCATGTGTGATGCATCCCTCCCTACTCTCCATTCCTTTCACCTATCTGTTCATGATCTTCCTCTTGATAGCATACAGATGGTGTGTGCATATTTAGACATACCAGGATCCTATCTTGAACTTTTGCCTCTTGTTAATGATTGTTCCAAGGGAAATCCAGTGACAAAGCATATAGAAAATTGACAGAAAATACAACCTTTGTTTGTGTAAGAATGTTGTGATTGTGATATTTCTTGCTAATGTATTTGAGGAGAGGCATTCAACGAATTGTTTTTATTGAAACTTATTTTTTCAATGCAATGACTACTTTTTGATTAGTTTTCATGAACCATGTTAGGAATGTGAGCATCCTTTGGCACCACGGCAGAGAAAATACGTACGAGTTGAGTTTTTTAGATCTGGCTGGCAAATAAGAGAAGGTAGTGTCTTGATTTATTCCAAGAATTTTTCATTAAGCAACGAATTTATTTTTTGTGTCCCGGGAGGTGGGGGTTCTGCTTGGAAGTGGGAACTTAACTGTTCTTTTCTTTAATGTTGTTGGAAAGTACATTAAGTTGCCTAGAAGCGTTGTGACTTGGGAAAGTGTTACAATTATTAGCCTTGTTATGTGTATTAATTTTCTATGTAATTATTCTCTATATAAATTCTTAGGTTGAGTATGTTTTACACTTAGCAATTTCCTCAAACACTCCCAATTTATTTTTTTCTTCCATACATGCTGTGGAGTATAGTTATTATAATTAATAGAATATAATTTTTATCCTTAATTAGCCTGTACAGATTTTTAGGCTCTTGATAGCTGAAAACTTCTAGTCTTTTCAGGTTCACAAATTACATGTTAAAGTCTCTCTCAATCACTTTATATATATATAGAGAGAGAGGAGTGATTTCCTTCATTTTGTTGTGATCATCGTATCAGAAATAAAATTATTTTTTAGTTTACTCCTTTCAAATCTTTCTAGTTTTCAAGTTGGCGTCAATTATGAAGCACCAACTCCGACTGGACACGACACTGACAAGTAAGGTTTGTAACATGAACAGACTTTGGCAGTGGTCTGAGCCAACCTAGGCTTTGGTAGGCCTGAACCTGACCTCTATCATCATTAGTTTGAGTCTGACCTATCTACGTTTTATAGACCTTTCTTTAAGCTTTAGCATAACCTGTTTGAAAGTGTGATTTAACCTGAAAGCCTGTTTACATGACTTATTGTATAGAAAGACCTATAAACTACTAGATAAGAACAGTTAGGCCAACAAACCTAAAAGGTCAATGGTTTTTGTTCATCACATAAATTATTCTTTGTTTTGTAAAGACTAATATTAGAAAAAGGAGTGTTGATATTTTGAGACAAAGGACAAAAATATTCCTTCAACAATTAAAATAGTTGTTTATCAATTGTTTATAAACATGGGTTGTCAAAAAATGTTTTTCCTAAAAAAAAATAAGAAATTTTCAGGAAGAAAAATAAGTCATTATATTAAAAAAAATGGATAGACACACAAAGCATACATAGCTCCTGATTTTGTCACAGGGTCAAAAATATGAGAAAATGCTTTATAAAGCATGAATAATTAAATAATGAGAAAAAGTAATATAAAAAGGAAAAACATCAACAAGAATCGTCAAACCCTTGTACCTTTCCTTGAACCATTGTGCTATTAGCCATTCACTCTCTCCAAAATATTACAAATTAATCTTGAAAAGTACATTAATTATTTAGTAAAAGAAACTAAATTAAATTAATTCAAATTAAACTGAATTTGAATTTGTTAGATACAATATCAAATTTGGGTTTTATAAATTACAAAATATAACACTTAAGATTAATAAAGAAAAATATATCTTCGGGGCTTATGGGACCCTTCTCCCTTTCTTCTATTTATAATGGAAATCTGATACAATGAGATATAAAAGACTAAGTAAGAGACTGCAACTAGGACACTAGGTGTAGATCTAGATACAAATGTAGGAGGTTTCCCACACTCAACCCTATACTTAGGTCTAATGATAATACTAGGAAGTAATGATTCTAACACTCCCCCTTAAGCTGGAGCATACAAATTATATGAACCAAGCTTGGAGCAAATGAACTCAATCCGAGGTCCCCTTAATGACTTGGTCAACACATTTGTAAGTTGGTCATTTGACCCAACAAACTCAGTACAAATTTCCTTGGACATTAATTTTTCCCGAACAAAATGGCAGTCGATTTCTATGTGTTTAGTCCTCTCATGAAACACTGGATTTGATACAATGTGGAGAACAGCTTGGTTATCACATTACATCTTCATAGTCTGGATTTCACAGAAATTAAGCTCCCGAAGAAATTGCTTTACCCATATGAGTTCACAAGTGAGAGACGCCATTGCTCGATATTCAGCTTCAGCGGATGATCGGACCACTACATTTTGCTTCTTACTTTTCCATGAGATAACATTTCCTCCAAGGAAGACACAATATCCTGTAGTAGAGCGTCTGTCAATAGGGGAGCCTGCTCAATCAGCATCACAATACCCGGAGACTTGAACATTTCCTTTATCTTCATATATAGTAAACCCTGTCCAAGAGCCTTCTTGAGGTACCTTAAAATACGGATGATGGCATTCCAATGTCCAAGATATGGAGTCTACATAAACTTACTAACCACTCCAACTACAAAAGATAGATCAGGTCTCTTAATAGTAAGATAAATTAGCTTTCCAACAAGCCTCCTATATCTCTCTGGATCAGAGAATAATTCACCTTCTTCTGTCGTTAGCTTCTGATTTGGGTCCATAGGACTGTCTACTGGTCTACAGTCAATCATGTTTGTTTCTTGTAATATATCAAGAGCATACTTCCTTTGAGAGATTACAACTCCATCTTTTGACTAAGCTACTTCAATGCCCAAGAAGTATTTGAGACTTCCAACATCCTTGGTTTGAAAATGTCTACACAAGTACTCCTTTAGTTGAGATATTTCAGCAGTGTCATTTCTTGTAATTATTAGGTAAACACATTTCCCAAGAGATGTATGACAGTAAAAGACAGAATGGTTTCCTTCACTACGTCTTAGCCCAAAATTTTGAACAATGGAGCTGAATTTTCCAAACCAAGCACGTGGTGATTGCTTGAGGCCATATAGAGAACGATGCAATTTGCATACTATACCAGACTCCCCCTGAGCAATGAACCCAGGAGGTTGCTCCATGTAAACTTCTTCCTCAAGATTACCATGGAGGAAGGCATTTTTGTTATCCAATTGATGAAGTGGTCAGTGATGAATGACTGTCATTGCAAAGAAGAGACGAATAGTAGTTATCTTGGCCACGGGAGAGAAAGTGTCACAATAATCAAGACCATAAACCTGAGTGTATCCTTTTGCAATCAATCAAGCTTTGAGTCGATCAACTTGACCATCAGGGCTAACTTTAACTGCATACACTCATCGGCAACCAACAACCTTCTTACCCGGTGGGAGGGCACGAGCTTCCAAGTATGACTGTGTTCAAGAGTCTGTATCTCTGCAATCAGGGCTTATCGCCATCCAGGATGATCAAGTGCTTCATTCACATTTTTTGAAATAACAACAACAGATACTGAGGATAAAAGGGAACAATAGAAAGGTGATAATCTGTGATAAGAAAATTATAAATGGGATGTGGATTTCGAGTGGAACGAGTACCTTTTCTGAGAGCAATGGGCCAGCCTGAATCACTTTCACCAGGAGTCGTGGTATCAAGGGACGAGGGGGAAGCATCTGAAGTAGGGGATTCATCATGTTCTTGGAAAATGGGACTATTTGTCTGGGGGTATGAATAGGTGTAGATGATGGCTCAGGAGGACTTTGATCACGACTTTGACCAGGATTGACATAGACATTGGAAAGATTGTACTCAACCACTAGAATAGGGAGACCCTGCTGTATGACATGAACATCTTGAACAGATGGAGAGAAGTAAGGGGTCTGTTCGAAGAACGTAACATTGGCAGACATGTAATATTTCTTTGTTTCAGGAGAGTAACAACGATACAATTTCTGAAGATGGGAATAGCACAAGAAGACACATTTGAGAGAGCGAGCAGAAAGTTTGTCTAACCCTGGAGACATGTCATGAACAAAACATACACAACCAAAAACACGAGAAGAAATGTGGAAAAGAGGATTATCTGGAAACAGAATGGAGACAGGGACCTTATGATTGGGAGAGGATGATGGCATCCGATTAATAAGAAAACATGCAGTTAAGATGGCATCTCCCCAATGATGGACTGGAATATGGGCACTAACCAAGTATCTATTTTTCCTTTCTGCTATACCATTTTGCTGTGGCATATGACGACAAGTGGACTGATGTAAGATACCATGTGAACTCAAAACGACAGAAAAAACAGATGAAAAGTACTCCTTGGCATTGTCACTTCTTAAGATTTTGATCACTTGCCTGAATTGATTCTTAATTTCATTTAAAAAGGATATGAAGATGGATAATAATTCAGAGCGATCTTTCATAAGATAAACCCAAGTACATCTCAAAAATTCATCAATGAAAGTAACAAAATACCTAAAACCAAAAGATGAGACACGACTAGGTCCACAAATATCAAAATGGATGATAGAAAAACTAGAATTACTTTTTGATTGAGACCTTTTAGGAAAGGCAGATCTAACATGTTTGCCTAGTTGACATGACCCACATTCTAAGGTCTGGAGACCACTAAGTTCAGGACACATTTTTTTTAACTTGGACAAATGAGGGTGGCCAAGCCGATCATGTAACATTTTAGGACTAGCGACTGCAACACATGACTCATGGACGAGATCCAAAATGATATAATCTTCCTGCTTCAAATCCTTCTCCAATTTGTCTCCCCGAACCACGCTCCTGTATAACAAAAGATTTGTTATCGAAGGTTACTGAACAGTTTAACATTTTGGTTAACTGGCTTAAGGAAATTAAATTGAAGGGACAAAAAGGACAAATTTTAGATTTAAGGAGGGAGACAGGATGACTTGACCAACTCCCTTTGAGGAAGTTTTAGAGTCATTTGCAAGGGTTATAAAATGAGGTTTGTCTTGAAATGAAATGGTTGAGAACAAGGAGGTATTACCAAAGATATGATTAGAAGCACCGGAATCAATTACCCATGAATTGTGACTTTCCATGGATTGAGAGATGCAAGTTGTTGATGTACTTAGGAGCTTGAGATGACTGTGCCAAGCTGTTGGACTTGAGTCGTAGGTACTCTTGATACTCACCCTCAGTGAACTTGGGTTCAGTCGTTTCAGTCTAAGAGACATTGGCTGTTTTGGAAGGAAAACCGTATAAGGAGTAACAATTTTCCTGGGTGTGACCCATCCTTTTGCAATATGTGCACTCAGGACGCCCACGACCACCACGTACGCCTCCTCTAGTTCCACGTCCTCCTCTTCCTCGAGTAGTGACCATAACAAATGGTTCTACTAGAACAGGAGTTTCCAGAGTTCCATATGTTGGGACACGAATTAAGCATTGGATTAAGGTATCCATGGAAGGGACCTCATGAGAGGT